TACAGTTTGTAAGCAATATAAGTCTCTGTGTTTACTTGGTTGGGTCTGAGCGGCTGTGGGACTGGCGGGTGACAAAGATTTGCCTTGACTGTGGGCAAGGCAGGAAAACTCTAGCAACAACCAAGGTCCACGGACACAACAGACCACAATCTGTTCTGAAAGTGTCTGTCCGCCTCCAGTGCTGCTACTTTCCAAACAAACAAACAAACAAACAAGCTGAAGTTGTAAAGGTCAGGTCAAAAGGCCGAACTCACTAATTCTGTCCCTAAGTGAGCCGCCATTTGAAAGAGACTCCAAATCTCATCTATTGCTGACATTGTGTTTTAAACCTGTAGATCCATGAGGATACCTAGAGATGAGAAAACCAAGTGTGCTCACTCAAGGGCCATGATACCTTGTTGTGGGACTGCAGGATCTGAATGATGACTCTGGTATGTGAATTGTAGTTCTTGATAGAAAGCACCCTGAAAAAAACAACAATATGCTCAACAGTCACGGGTCATATTGGCTTTGTAATATAATCCAATTCAGAGTTAAAATTCCTGTGAATAAGTATGGGAGGGACTCGGTACATTACAAAATTGTTAGCTTGTTTCTACGTTCTATGTCAATAGTTATTTTTCATATACATATTTTCATTTTATGTATATGAGTGTTCCACTCAAACGTATGTACGTGTGCCACAGGGCCAGAAGAAGGTGTCTGAATCCCTGGAACGGGAGGTGCAGGAACTGGACCTGAGTCCTGTGAAAGAGCAGGGAGCCACTCTACTGTTTTCTGAAACGTATTGACAATGATGTGACCAGAAAGGCAACACTGCTTAGGAGACCAAGTAACCAATGCATGGGAAGGTCAGGATTTAGTATTCGAAAACTGGACTCCATTGACAGGAAGAAATGAACAGTTTCACATACCTTAGCCTTGCACCTGATGGCTTGAAGTGGCTAATAGAATGTTTCATTTTATAGGTTAAGAGCCTAAAATTTATCTTCTGTTCAATGTAACATACATGATGTCATTTCTCAACTATTTCTTGCTCTGTGTAGAGTCATCTTCAACCACACATATTTATTTTGCTCTAGGAACAGAGCCACCAAAATCCTATTTTGAGTTTCTGTCACAAGGCAAGTTCCTGCTCACAGATACTCGACAGTTGAAGTTAGGAATACTAACTCCCTTCACCTTGAGAACCCTTGCCAGTGTGCACAAATACATCACACTCAGCCATGTGTCCTCTTTTCCTAGAGCTACCGAAGAGAAATTCCAATAAATAAAGACTACAACTAGGATTTGTGGAATATTCCTTTATACCGTGTGAATATCTGTCACTGTGATTGGGTTAATAAAGAAGCTGACTGGACAATAGCTGGACAGGCAGAGATTAGGTGAGACTTACAGACAAAAAGAGAGCGAAAAGAATAAGGGGAGGAGTCAGAGAATTGCAAAGAGATGCGGAGAGGAGAGAAACTTGCCGTACTGAGAAAGGGTACCAAGCCATCAGGTAGAGCGTAGATAAGAAATATGGGTTAATTTAAAATGTAAGAGTTAGCTAGCAACAAGCCTGAGTTATTGGCAGCGCATTTATAATTACTAAGTTTCTGTGTGACTACAAGGATTCACAAATGGCATCTTTGTTTTTGAACTGAGGAGGATCTTACTCAGAATAGCACTATCTAAATACTAATCTGGAGTTACAGCTGGGAATGTAGCTCAGTTGGTAGAGTTAACACATGATGTCCTGGGTTTGATCCTTACCACCATAAAAAGGGGGAGAAGGTGTTTGTATGCTTGCTTTTAAAATGTCTCCTTATCTATAGGAAACATCGGGGGACATGATGGAGAAGGTCATACCCATTAGGATGTTCTACTTCCACTTCCCTTCGCATTCAGTGTTTTGGGGTGCATGTGGGACAAAAAGCAGGCAGGAACCTGGCATATGGTGAACCTAGTGAATTAGAGATGCCATCTCCCCTCATTCAGTCCTGTGTGATAGGCTTGGTTTTAGTGTATAGAGAAGAATACCGTCCTCGGAGCACACAAGAACAAAACAGAGGCACGCCCGCTTCTCACCTCATGATGTTTGAAATGTCTTCGGCATGCAAGTCGCTGCACAGAGAGTTGGCTAGAATCAGGCAGGCTTCTGCAGACTCCACCTGTTCTTCAGATCAAACAGCGGCCGTCAGCTTAATGACAAGGGCAATACTATAGCATTCCCTCTTTGAAACCGTTTTATGGTTTCCTCAAACTACCGCCAACACGAAGAGCACATGTAGGAAGGAGTCGTGAACCACATGTCTTCGTATCAAGACCACCGTCCTGCAAATGCTGCCGAGGCCCTGAGGGCTGCAGCTGATGGACCAGGGCCTTACAGGTCCTGGTCTCTTACAGAAATTGAAAATTGCCTTACGATGGGTACGGTTTTAAGCTGTACTTTCCTATACTATCTATCACCATTATTCATGTCTGCTGACGAGCAATAAGACCTTTTCCAGGGCTGGAGAGATGGCTCAGAGGTTAAGAGCACTGATTGTTCTTTCAAAGGTCCTGAGTTCAATTCCCAGCAACCACATGGTGGCTCACAACCATCTGTAATGAGATCTGGCGCCCTCTTCTGGCCTGCAGGGTTATGTGCAGTCAGAACACTGTATACATAATAAAGAAATAAATTTAAAAAGAAAAAAAAAAAAAGATCTTTTCCAGCAACTGCCAGCATATTTATCCACCTTAAGGACACCAAACAATGGTAGAATTGTTCACAATGAAGAGTCACTCAACATTTGGGATCTAAATTTTAAAGTGCCAGAAAATTATTGAAATTATTCCTACAGTTAACAAATTATAAGACAAAAAGATGATGCTGAGTCTGTCATTTTCTGCTTGGGAGTCTTTGCATTAGCTCTATAGACCAGTGGTTCTCACTTTCCTAATGCTGTGACCCTTTAGTACAGTTCCTCATGGTGTGGTGACCTCCAACTATAAAATTATTTTCATTGCTATTTCATAACTGTAATTTTGCTAATGTTATGAATCACAATGTAAATATCTGTGTTTTCCAATGGTCTTAGGCGATCCTTGTGAAAGGGTCATTTGTGCATGGATCTTCCATCGAAGGAGAAATAGATGAGATCTACATAAGCAAACTGGGGGTGAAGGGGTTAATGGAGGGCAAGGGATGGGGGATGAGAACATAGGGGAACTGGAGGTTCTAGCTGGAAGAGGGACAGAGTGGGAGAGCAAGGAAAGAGACACATGATAAATGAAGACATCATGGGCATAGGGAGAAACAGAGTGCTAGGGAAGTTCCCAGGAATCCACAAGGATGACCCCACCATAGACTACTGGCAATAGTCCAGAGAGTGCCTGAACTGGCCTACTCTGGTGATCAGATGGCTGAATACCCTAACTCATAGAGCCCTATCCAGTGACTGATGGAAGCAGATGCAGAGATCCACAACTGGGAGCCAGGCGGAGCTCCAGGAGTCCAATCGATGAGAGAGAGGAGCAATTCTATGAGCAAGGGACATCAAGATCATGATGGGAAAATGTACAGAGACGACCAGCCAAACTAGTGGAAACACATGAACTGTGGACCAATAGCGGAGGAGCCCCCATGGTACTGGACTAGGCCCTCTGGATAGGCAAGACAGTTATTTAGCTTGAATTGCTTAGGGGTCCCCCAGGCAGTGGGATCAGACTAGTCCCTGGTGCACTAGCCGGCTTTTTGGAGCCTAGTGCCTATGGTGGGACACTTTGCGTAGCCTTGGTGCAGGGAGGAGGGGCTTGGACCTGCTTCAACTGAATGTACCAGGCTCTGCTGACTCCCCATGGGAGACCTTGCCTTGGAGGAGGTGGGAATGGGGGGTGGGTTGGGGGGGAGGGTTGGGGGCAGGAGGAGGGAGGAGAGGGGAATCTGTGGTTGGTATATAAAATAAATAGAAAATCTCTTAATTAAAAAAAAAGAAGGGGGGAGAGCATGGGAATCTGTGGCTGTTATGTGGAACTGAATGGTGTTGTAAAATAAAAAATAGATTTTATATATATATATTTGACCCCCAAAGGGGTCATGACCCACAGGCTGAGAACCACTGCTGTAGACTTTTGCTTTGAACTGAATTATTCAGGTTTGTTACTTAGATACCAGGAAGCCAGTTTTGATCCAACACCAAACTTTAGTATTCATTTGGCCACTGTTCATTATTTTTAGCCTTGGCCTTGCTGGAATTTCCACTATTTTTCTTAATGTGTATCTTATCAAAGGTCAATATACTAATATCTAAGAAGGGAAGTTGATGAGAACCAATGAAGACCATATTTGGCTATGCAGTCTGCTGAGGGAGAAAAGTCATCAGCAGAAATCTCACCCAGCTGTGAACCTTGCGAGCTACAATAATAACTGGCCTAGCAAGCTATGAATACCACGTATGTAGTAGTGGTATGAATGCTATAGGAGTAACCAACTCTGATGAGCTTTAGGGCCTGGGAGTAGAAAGAAACTCGGGCCTGGGAAGTTCACAGACACTAGGAGAGAACCTACTAATATTACTTTGATAAATGGGCATACTATCAAACCACCTTCTAAATACATTATCTCTAAACCCATAGGTAAGTATGGCTTCTCACTAGAGAAGCTTCTTTACGTAGTGGACAGCAGTCAAAACAGAGCCGAGCCACTGGTCAAAGTGCAGAGGTTAAGTGTCTGTTAAGTGATCAGCCACAAAGTGGACATCTGTGTCACGCCCTCCCCTCCAAGGTTCTGAGAACATAGTCAAATTGTGTGGTGGAAAGATCTGTAGAGCCAAAGGCTGAGAAGTCTGGGGAGAAAGCAGTATATTCTGGCCGGGCCAGGCCTGCTGTACCTATGAATGCACAGTAGCTGTGTTTGCCTGCGTAAGACCTGAACAAGATCAAGCCAGTCAACATCCCCACAGGGACTGGGGACGGGTACAGCCACCAGCTGAGGAGCTGTGGACAGTTCACGGCTACTAGTGGAGGAGGAAATTGGTTTTTCTTAGGAGTGTGGTTCCTGGGAGGCTGACCACACTCCAGTAAAGAGTCTCACACCCATGTGTATATGGGCAGCACTAACTGGACTCAGTGAGTTATAAACAATAAAACAAGAGCGAGCGAGCGAGCGAGAGAGAGAGAGAGAGAGAGAGAGAGAGAGAGAGAGAGAGAGA